GTCATCTTCCTCCAGACTCAAGGAGAGGACAGCTTGGCGAGATCTCTATATGTCATCGGAGAACAATGGCATCGCACGCAGTCGGAGAACCCGGACCAGCTCAAGGCCCCGCTACGCGTCATCATGTTCCAACACTTTATCGAAATGACGAAAGTGCGCTTCAACAAGATGATGGAGACGCCTTCATCGCGATCCCAGGCTCTGGAGAGGGGCCTCCTCACAGAAGCACCGGCGATGATTCCGGGCCTCCGTTGGGACCCCACCGAGAAGCGCCATGTCAAGGACCCCAGAGTGACACCTCTGAAGCCCGAGGAGGTGCTAGAGGCCATGGACCGCCTCCTGGTCTTGAGCTCTCAGGAACTGGTGATCAACCGGTTCCACGGCATGCGCAAGCTCAGCGAGGAGTATGCCTCCCCCAGCATCGGCATGTTCCTGGAGCTGGGACTCCGCACGGGGGCAGCCAACGAGGCCTGGAACCTGCTGCACAAGCTCAACCAGTCAGCTGCCTGGATGGCCACAGGCGGCTATCTCCGACACGAGCGTCTCCACCTGAGCGCCTTGGCGAAGCGCCTTGCAGCTGTGACGAAGTGAGGGCGATGCGCTTAGGGAACCGGGGCAATTACTGCTACGCCAATTCGGTGTTGCGGTCGTTGCTGCACATGAGCTGCTATCTGGCCGACGACCACCAGATTTTCCAACTTGGCTATCGTGAGTTCCTTAAGGGGATTGTTAAGCGCTCTGGCCGGAAGGCAGTTCACCTTTGGCAACACCCTGTCTGGGTTGCCCTCACCCGGGGCTGGCAATCGCCAGGTCGGCAACATGATGCTGCTGAGTTTCTGCAGTTTCTTGTTAGCAGCTCCCTGTTGAATCGTCAGAATCTTGAGATGATTTGGCAGGCCCGGGACCTCAATCACCCTGGCCCGAGAGGTCACACAGTAGCTGATGCTGGCGAGTCGGCTCCACTCATCCTTGTGTCTCCCGGTGAGACCTCTGAGGATGGTTCTAGGGTGGTTACTGTTCAGGACCTTGTTGATCAGTGGCACCGGCAGACCCATGTACATGCGGCACTGTTGCCATCTACAGCGTTGGTGTTGCAGGCTTGCAGATTTCATTTTGAGGCGGATGGACGCCTTGTGACTAAACGTAGGTATCAGATAGTTCCTACTCCTACTCTTCGCCTTCCGCAGTTTGGTGAATCCCTGCATTGTCATGAGATCGTCCTCAAGCTTAATTCAGTGGTAGTACATCTGGGCGACGCCCCAGACCATGGCCACTATCAAGCACTGCTCTATAATGAACTTACCAATGGTTTCATCCTTGCTGACGATGCCAAGCCGGTGAGAATCCTCCCGAGCAAGGCCACGGAAGCTCTTCAAAGTGACATGTATCTTTTCTTCTACACGCAGTGCCGATAATATGGCCGGTCCCGCTTTGGGTGTCCGCACCGGGGACCTTCGACTGGGTGGGTGGGGGGATGTGCAATGCACAGCAAAGCCGGGCCCTGGCGCCTGTCCTCCTCTTTTCGTAGCAAAGGCACGACTTTGCGACGTGGAAAGTGAAAGTGAAAGTATGTATGTATGTATGTATGTATCTAGGTATGTATGTACCTAGGTATGTATGTACTTATGCATGTACTTATGTATGTATCTATGTGTGTATGCGTGTATGTGGGTGTTATCCGATATTCCTT